GTGTGCCAGTACTAATGTACTTATACTAGTGTACTGGTACTAGCCGACTAGTACGACTAGTCCCGGTTCTGCTGCTACTACTACTACTACTACTACTACTACTACTACTACTACTACTACTACTGTTACTACTGTTACTACTGCTACTGCTACAGCTACTGCTACTGCTACTCCTACTACTACTACTACTACTACTACTACTACTACTGTCATTTCATGTTGGTTTGTTTCCCAAGGGCTGTGGGCTGCAACTGCTTGCTTTCCTGTAATGCGGAGTCCTTTTGCCATTACACCTGGTGCGTGCATTGTGTGGGTCGGGCAGCTGTTGCTGTTCATTGGTCTTGCTGAGCATGCATCCGGTCGTAAGCCTCTACTCTGATCCTGGCTTTTGGCGACATGCAGTCGGAGGTCGACTGAGCTTCTTTTGTGTCTTGCGGGTTGGTAGCTGTTGCTGAGCTTTTAAAAGGGTTTTTGTGTAGCTGGGTTTTGCTTCTAGCTCGGAGTTCCTTATGTTTCGTAATCACCCAGTCCCTTCACCCAAGCTCTTGACTTTGCCGCTGCCGTGGCTGTGCCCACTGAAACGACGCGAGTCATTGGCTGCCCTTTACTTTACTTGGTAGAGGAAGCATTTTCACGACATTTTCCCTCGGGTTAGAAGTTGAGCTGAAGCCAGTTTTCCTTCGTTTTTGTGCATGTATTTCTGTGTGTACATATATATATATAATATAAATATATATGTATAAATAAATAAATAAATATATATATATATATATATACTTGTCCGATGTGTCTTGCTGACTTCATCTCACTCAGCCTCCGAGTCCAGTTGACCGTTGTGACGCCGTGCCAGGTGGGTGACAAAAAACTACTACAAACTACTACTACTACTACTACTACTACTACTACTACTACTACCACTACCGCCACCACATCAACTTTTTTCGATCTCGTTATTTATGTTTTTCGAGTTGGTCGCGTTTTCGTTGTTTATTCCGCGCGTATCCCTGTGTCTCGGCTTAGCCAACACTCGCGAAGCAATTCCACAGTGGTACTCAGGGAACATGTCGCGGAAACATCTCACGCCGTCTAGCAGGAACATGCGCTCTTGCTTCTGTAGGACAGCAATGCTACGCAAACATAGCCCCAAAGCACCCGCTCTACCAACCCTGCATGGTCGCCTCCAAGCCTCAGAAGTACAAGGCACATCTGCCAGTGTCCAGCTTGCTAGTAGAAGATTCCAGTACGCATGGGGCAAGCCGCTGTGGCCAGCAAGGCAAGTCGGAGCCAGGTGCTCTTGCAGTGATTCAGAGTTGCGGCATTGTTGAGTGCTTATCACTGCACCGCAATACATCAAGCATTTCGGGAACTTCGGGATTGTTCCACTTGCCACAGAGTCCTTCACTGTGTAGATTGGTGCTTCTAGCGGGCCTTGTTATCTTGTTTGGCGAAGACTTCGGAACAGAGGCCAAGAGCAGCAACAGAGCACGGACCCGCGCCGTGCAGTCGACATGCAATATAGCAAGTGTAGTAATATCAATGCAATCGTAAATAGACATTAATCTATGGTAAAGAGTGGAGTAGTAAAACAGTGCATTGCACAATTTCAATCGCGCAATTGGGTACAACGGTAAAGTGGGCACCCGTTTGCAGGTTGGAAACGCATTCGTGCTTTTTGTAAACCAGCAAGATGGTAAGGCGCACAAAGTACATAGTACAATATTAGCAAGCAGTGAATTAGTAAAGTCGCAAAATAACATTGAGTACAAGAGTAAATAAATAGTAAGAGGGGACCCCTTTGCATGACAATGTCGCAAAACGCCGATGTGCCTGTCGACTGTGCAGTGTTAGTAAAGCAGTAAGTTTAAAGCCGAAAAATTAGTGAATAGAAAAGCGTACAATAGCAAGCTTGGTAATCAAACAATATTTGAAACAGGTACGCAGCTAGCACATAATGTAATAGTGAAGAAGCATTGCAATTTGCAAGCGGGGACCTTTTTGTGTCTCCGAAACGTGCCATGCCTGTCCACTGCTGTAGTATTAGCAAGCAGTAGTAGTAGTATCAGAGTACATAGTAAACAGTAAAGTAATAGGTTTACAAACAGTACAACAGTAAAGAACTGGTAAAGAGGGGCCGTTTGCATCGGGAAGTGCAGTCGTGCCTGCCCACCACTGCAGCATTGGGTAAAGTAGCACAAGAAGTAAACAGTACAATCGTAAATCGTGCAATAGTAAAGTAGTACATGGTTAACGGCGCAATAGTAAATCAATCGTCATGAGGGGAGTAGTCAAACAATAAAGTAGCAAAGCCAATGGTACAACCGTATGAAAGATTGAGTAAAGAGGCGACCCTCTTGCGCCGTGCCTGCCCGTCGCTGTAGCATTGCCACACTAGCAAAATAGTAAATAGCAGTAAGCAGCAGAAAGCAAAATACTAAAGTATACAGTAAACAGTCAATAACCAAGAAATGGTAAAGAGGGGGTTCGGTTTCATCTCGGAAAGGCAGTCGTGCCTATCCGCCACTGTGGTACTAGTTACTAGTACACTTGCAAAGCAGTAAAACGGTAAAAAATGATAGTGCACGCGCGGGTGAACAACAGCGGCGACAGCAATAGCAACCAACGACAACAACCACTACGACTACCACTACCACCACGGCTACTGTTACTACGACGACGACTACTGCGACTACTACTACTAGTACGACGACTACTACTGTACGAGACTACATGTACGACTACAGCAGCAGCAACAGTATCAACACAGGGACAGCGACAGCAACAGCGACGACTGCAACTGCGACCGCAACAGCGATAGCGACGGCGACGACTACAGAAGTGTCGCAACAGCGCCAGTGAGAACTACAGTACCATCTCGCCCGCAACCAAAACCAAAGCGTGCTGAATCAAGAGCGTTCTCACCCTAGAATCCTGCGATTCTCGGACCCTTCCACTGACAAGCCCACTTACTGTACCGCCGCTTGCAGCAGCCCCAAACCGTGCACGTCGAAGGCTTCCAAAGAGAGCTACTGGCCGACGTTGCTCGGGTCCTCTTGCCAACCTGAGGCCGTGCTAGTATTGACTAGCATCAGTAGCACAGCTGCAGCTTTCATGGCTTTCAGTTGTTGCGGTTTGCCGCCTCTTCCACAGTCGCCAGGTTCCAAGCCGAAATAGTTTCGTTTGAGGTCGAGCGTTCCATGTGCAACTGTAGTTGCGGATTGTGTTTGAAAGTGATGCGCAGCTTGTGCCGAATACAGGAACGGTGTCTACAGACACGATTGTTGTAACTGAGGTATGTATTAAACAGTCTGCGCAATTTGGTAACTCTGTGGAGGGTCGAGGAGTCTCAATGGAGCCTTCGGATTAATGACGGAGCAGGATGCAACGCCACTGCTGCGCTAGTGAGGCCTCAATGCCAGGGACACACACACACTTTCGGCAATATCTGCTTGACCAGGGCTTCAGCTGTGCCAGCCAACCGTCGTCCTGCAGCTGCAAGGAAACGGCTGGGGACTCGTGAATCCGGAGGAACCGAAAACCTAAACTCCAAGTCCAAGCCCGAAGCCTGAAATCCGACTTGATTGTTGCTGGAGCTGATTCGGAGGCTTTATAAAGTTCGGGTTTAAAGCTGGAGTTTCAAGCCCTTGTTGGTTTATGCGGTGGGCAACTAGGTTATTGCTTAGGAGCGCATGTGAGGAGGGTTCTTTGGAGCGGCATGCCCAGTAGTTGCAGATGAGTCCGAATCTGGGCATTCCCATAAACAGTCCAACAGTCCTGGAAAAGCAGATCGTACCATCCTGGCCGTGCATAGCTGCGACATGTTCTTCCTACCAGTCTTCCTGTTGTCAATGACGTCTTTCTGCTACATAGCAGTCCTAGTAAGTACTAGGCTTTCCTCCTCAAACCTCGCCTGAGCTTCGAGTGCGAGTGCTAAAACGTCTTAGTAATCACAGGTACCCACACTTTCGCTGCTTTTGGTGCGAACAAGACTCAGCCACAGCTGCGACGCCGGACTTTCAGGAACGCGCTCAAAGTCCCCAATGCCTATGCCCGAAACGTCCCCAGCCGAGGACGGCTTTGCAAGCATCTTCGGCAAGTTGCCGCTGCCTGAGCTTCCCACCCGAACGCGTTCCGTCCCTCGCTCCCTCCCTCTCCCCCGCCCCCCCTACCTCCATCTCCTTCCTTCCAAGATCTGGCAAGTTTTCGCCAGCCGAAGCGGCCAGGTCCAGACCATGGTCCTCCCGTGTGGACTCCGCCCCTCGGATGTTTTAGCAGTTAAGCAGCAGCTTCAAGAAGTTTAGGGTTGAGTTGAGAGTGTGGGGCCTCATGGCGACAAGGGAGCATTCGGCCTATAGCGTGATTGCATTCGGGTTGCATCAACTGCACCTGAAACGCTTCGATAGGTGTCGTTGATTCTCATTCGGGGGCTCGGCACACTTCTGCCAGTCCTTGCAGCGGTTCTTGCCTGATTGGCTGCACGCTAGAACGGGAAGCCTACCTCAGCTGCACGCAGCAGTGAACGGCAGTGGCCACAGTGCAGCAGCAGCTGAAGCTGCAGAGCTGTTCTAATCGCTGATCGCTGGCAGCTGTAGTTCTGTTCTAACAAGTCGTGGCGTTGTTGGGAATTAATCAGGAAGAGTCCAGTGGCGAGGAGGAGACGGACAGCAGCCGCCTCGGATTGTGTTTGCTCAAGACGATTTGAAGTACTGCCTGGATAGAGGGTGCTGCTGGGATGTCGTGGGTGCTGAACCCAATGTGCAGCAAATGGTGCGTCCACAAGACATTCCTCGCGTGGCCGAGGTCTCGAATGGAAGCCCCCTGTTATGGGCTCCGACGGCTCCCGTTATACCGGTCAGTGGCCGGCTCCTCACAGGTTCCAAAAACTTGGGGTTTAGAAGCATTGCAGGGTTTCTAGAACACGACTTAATAGTTTAGCATTTCAGACATCATTGAAGCTTAACGACTTCGGGGGGTAAGTAAGCCTTCAAAGTGGTGTAATTAATTGTCAATGAGGGGCAAGCACAACTCTTCGAGCTAACGATGGTTTGGGAGCGTTGTCGCCTGAGCCGCCCAAGCGCAGGGCACGTCGTGTGTTGGTTTTGACTTCTAGACGTCGTTCTTCAAAGCACGCCTAGTCATGGTCTTAATTACTCAAGGCAAAGGTGGCATGCTTTGGCTGCAAGATGCAGCACGACATCCAAACTTGACGTTGTCTGGTTGAGAATTTGGACGAAGGTTCAGATCCAGGAAAAACGCTCAAGGCCAAGCTGGTGCCCGCCTCCCCTATGTGAAAGAAGCTATGGGTGAGCAACTCTACACGAGGTTCAGCCTTCCTCCGAGCCATCGTGCATGCAGGGCCGCCTCCACATTCTGGCTTTTCGGAAGTATCCTGCTGAGCGAATTTGCAGACGTAGCTTGCACTTTTCCCCCCAAGAAGACTTATGTTTCGCCGCATCCGCTAAAGGCATCCCGATGCCTTTCCATTAGACTCCATTTGACACTGTGGTCGTAATGGTGCAAATGAGTAAAGGTCCTTTGCCGAACATTTCCAAATTCCGTTATGGTTCTCAGGACCCATCGGTTCACAGAGCGGCGTGCTACCAAACTCAGGAAAGGTGGCCACTGGCACGGGGAAGGGCAGCGCGGACCTCGCCTGCTTTGGTGTGCCCTTGCGGCGAGGGTGACGACTTCAAGACAGGAGTGAGAGTTGAGGGGAGTCAGAATTCACCATACATGCTCAGACAGTCTTGTTCGATATTCGCTAGGCATCGAAGCGGTCCAAACTGTCGGCTGCTGTCTATATTCCTGTCGCGTTCTGGCCAAAAAATCGAGCTTGGGGAGTGAGGGTGTAGCTATTGGTTTGATCTGCAGAGCTGTTTCTCAATTTAACCAGTGCGCATGCCTGAAGCCGGGTTTCTACCCAAGCCAAAGACCTCCAAGACTTCCCGAGGCTCGAGCGCGCAGATGGCAGCGTCTATGAAGGTGCTGGTCACAGACCTATGCTGAGCCCGCAAACTGCACTGAACCATACTCTCCAAGATTGCTTCACATCAACCCCATGAAGCTTGAACCGACACATGAGTACTAGATGCTCTGGAATCCTGCCGAAACCCTGAGTTCCGAGCCTGCCCTAAGCCACCTCTCTGGTGTTGATCCGCTGCCTGCCTTGGCTCTGGAGTTCTTGTAAGACAGTTCTTCGGTTAAGCAGCCCTCAAAAAATGTAACTCTATGATTGGCCCTTCTGGCTTTTGAGCAGAACTGAACCTCACGTCGCAAACTGCAGCGAGCGGCCAATTCAAAAAGATCGGTGGAAGAACACTACATAGATTACGCCCCATTTCTCGAGAGGTCAGAGGTTGTCTCGTAAGCTTTCGTGTAAACCATCCGCTGAAGCGAGGAACTCCATGTGCAAGCCAGGAAAACCTAAAGCGTCCCCGAGGCGGCTTCAAAGATGGCAAGCCTCACGGGCAAGGACGCCAGGAGCCCAGTCACACCTGAGTGCTGCCCGGAGGTGCTGGTTTCAGCCCCTTGTGGGATATGGGGTGGGTGGTTGAGATGGTGCTTATAGAGAGTGTGAGTTTTGCTTCGCTCACCGTAGTTGGATTTCAGAAGGCCCAGAGCCTAGCTTAGGAAGTCTGTCAAGTAGAGATGTTGACAGAAGCAGAGAGATTCCCGCAGTCAGGGCCAAACACGAAATTCAGAGCTGCTGCCTGGTCGTTAGGTTGAGACCAGGTTGTAATTACAGATTCATATTTGGGAGTGTTGTGAAGTTTCAGCCTCGAAGTGCGAGACGTGGCAGTGGAATTAGCAGCTTGAAGGCCTCAGGATTCTGGTAATAGTCCAAACTCCGGGTCGGGTTGCAAGCATTTCTTCGGCTGGACGGCTTACTCCACCGAACAAAAATAGCTTTATGCTGACCTGTTTCGTGGCTTCCATGGGGTTGCAAGGGCATGGCTGCTTCAGCAAAACATCCTCCTGCGACATTTCTGAGATCTGCGTGACCCCAGGCTCAGAGGGCAGTGCAGAAAATGGAGCTTATTCCCGAAGATCTGTAGTCCCGGTCCATTAGGTCCGAGCTCCAGCATGAGCTCTTTCCGTCTGTACCCGTTGAATGTGACTCGATCCTCAGGCCTGCAGGCACCCGACGGGAGTGTCTACGAGGCGACGGCCCTCACGGATTCTCAGATCCGGATTTGGGATTGAAGCATCTGGTCATGTTGAGGCTTCGCGTCTAGGGCTTGAGCTTGGCGATTTCAGGATTTGGATTCATTTGGGTAAGTATTGTTGAAGGGCTGGACTTTGTCAGGAGCATCTAGAGGCACGGAAGACTGTTCTCCTGGACCTGCCAGGAGCTTCACGTGCCCACGTTTTGTGTAACAACAGGCTCGCGGCTGATGGTGAATCATGGTGCGGTCCAACAAGACATGGCCTGTCTCCAACTTGACGGTGCCAGCCGACTTGGTGTTTTTGTCCGCAGCTTCCCAAGACAGCTCCATTCTCAACGTATTAACGCGTTAACCATATTTAGTTATCAAGAGATGCGGGGAGCACCCTCAAAGCCGACAAATTTGGAGAGTTGGGGGCTCGAGCTGCCAGGGCCAGTGGCGCCAGGGACGTGCCCACGGGGAAGGGCAGTACATTAAAACGGCCGGGCTCCCTGAGAGAGATGCTTTTCCACTGCCTACCAGTCTCCAGGCTCTGTGAGGGATTTGTGGGCGATTTTATGGTCAGCGTCGAGACCGTGTCTTCCTCGGCTATAGCCGAAACATCTGGCCCTTCCCTCCATTCCAGAATCTCTTTGCTGCCCGTCCAGGACCTATTCCTATCAAGCAGCCCGCTTGACAGCAGGTCTGTCAACACCGCGACGGCTTTTAGTACGGAGTAGTGACTGCAACGGCCAGAGCACTGGTCAGGCTAAAGCGGCCGCAGCATTTGCACCAAGCCTCGCTGAGGGTGGAGCTGGGAACTACGAGGGCCAGTGGCTGGAGGAGCTGCATGCAAGACCACAGAATCACTACTCGTCATTTAGCAGTGGTCAATTGTCATAATGTTCATTATTACCGATATCGCCATCAGTGCCACTATCGCTGTACTCAACAGGACCATCGTCATCACTATTACCAGGCTTGATATTGCAGGAAGACGATTTGAAGCTCTCGATTGAGGATGTCGACCCCCGGGGTAGAAGTCGCTGAGGTTCATGTCGGGACAGGGCAATCTTTGCAATTGGCGTGCACGGCCAAATCAGCGATCTAGGAATTGAAGTTTCAAGGCTCAGTTGCTGGATGCAGAGGGTCCAGATCTTCACGTTGTGCTGATTCGTAGCCGGAGTGGTGCGGCGCATTCCAGGACAAGAGGTCTGGCAAGGGAAGCGAGCAGTGGGCGGGCCCCCCAAAGTCATCGAAGAATTGAGCCATTGAGCAGGACTGCAAGCGTCTTGACATAGGGCACGCCACAAGCAGAGTGGAAACTTTGAGGCCGACGGATGCCGGTACCGTGGCTCCTACTGGAACGGTGTGAAGCACGGCCGGGGTTTCTACCAGACTCCCGAGGCGGGACCTGAAAACTAGTCTGGTCTACACAGATCCTTCGCCTTGTCGCGAATCCCACCGTCATGCAGCAGCAATGATTTCTGCATCCCGGAAGCTCTTCTACAAGAGAAAGAAGTTGCTTCTTGGGCGTTTGTGGCGCGCAAACTCGCACTGTTTTGTAGTTCGTGTCTACGCACTTCGACATGTACTGAATAGAAACCCCTTATGACTATCGACCCCAGGGTCTCAGGGTTAGAGTGGAGGGTGCTTGAGGTACTGGTACAGGCAGTACCTTTTTCTTTCAGCAGCCGCTGTGCAACTAATCCCTTGCGTCATGAGAGGGCGCATCCTACAGTGGCGATTTCCACACTGCTGGGAGCTTGGGTGCTGCACAGCTGGTGATGCATGGCCGATAAGTAGCTCGAGCAATGGGAACCTCCAAACGCATGCGAGCTGCATGTTTGAAGAGTGCTTACGCTGCTGTTGGGTCTTTCAGGCCTTTCTTACGTAGATACTGTACTGGATGCTATCCAATTTTGAAATCATAAGGCATCGCTCAGCCTACCGACAGATGCGCCTGCCGATGAATCCTGCAGATATCGAGTCACGCTCAAGCCTCTTGATTCATGGAGATCGTGTGACTTCGAGTGCAAAGGACCAGATGCACGGCGAGGGCACCTATCAGTTTGCGGACGGGCCACGATCCCGGTGAGGGTGACATGGTGACGTGCTTTGCTGATAATTACTGTGTTCGTAATAATATTGAAGCAGAGCATTCACGGTGTTTTAGTTCTCACCCTGTAGAAAGGCAGGAACATGCACGCAGCACGCGCGCGCACACGCATGCATGCATGCACGCAAATGGGTGGCAATCGCCGCTCCTCCCGTCCCCATACTACCTGTAAGTGAAGATATGCGAGCGGAAGCGAGCGACAAGGACAAGGAACAGAAAGAAACTGAACAACAGAAACAGAAAACACAGAAAAAGAGCGAAGCCGTACACCCTTTCCTTCCCCCTGCAAGGTGAAAACAAAAGGAAGACAAGGGGCGTGACCCCTTTAAGTCCATGAACGAGGACCACACGCTTTCACACACAAATGGCCCCAAAAAGGCGTCAGCCACTCGCGCTTCGGAGCTCAGCAGCACTTTACTGCACTAGATCTCTACCGCATTACAACATCAGAGACGCACTAGCTCCTTACCATGGCAGATGCACATGACATCCTGCGGCAGTGACACTTGCAGAGACCGAATTGAGAGGAGTCATCGACCAAATAGGCAGGCCAGACTAGCGAGGGAGCTGCGCACACCGAGCACTCTAGCGTTTACCAGATGCACATGCCCTCCTGTCATGTCTCACCCCGATCGCGGGTGTCGAAGAGAAGGTACGCGTCGGGTGGCTGAGTACTTTGTAGCTGACAAAAGATTGAAGGGGAGAGAGAGACTCCCTGCGGGGTGTTCAACAACACATCTCCCTCATCGGAGACTGCCTGCAAGGCAGACCACCACGCGCCGTGTTGTTGACACACTGTCGACAAGTTGGGCGCACTCATGGTTGGCAACGCGAAACGGAATGATGTTGATGATGATGATGATGATGATAAAAACGATATTGAGATGGTTTTATGGCGCCACGTAGGCCAGACGTCGAGAATGGCGTACAAAACTGGGTGAGTAAGGCTCCTACCCCGCTACAGCAGACACCGGGAATGATGTTGCATGAGGTGACATGAAGATGAAAATGAGGATGACGGGCCCGCCAGCTGCCCACAGACGGGCCCAGGCTTCGGGGCATGGCTGGAAGGATGATTCCGACAGGATCTCAATTTTGTCCTGGACACAGGCTACCTCCTGCACAGCTCGCCGACACCCAAAAAATAGACCAGATGCAGCCCGAACCTGCCCCAACAAGGGTCAGGTTTGTGTCGGTGTTCACTCTTAGCCAGCTGTGGCCAAGGCGTGTCTACTCGGGAAGCTTCCGCTGTGGGTGTGGACTCTCAGAGCCTTTGCAGGGCTTGGTGGCTTATGTGGGTTTTTTCGGTAACAAAGGAGAGGGTCACATGTGGGGATAGCAGGCTTGGGCTTGGAGATGAGTTGTTTGAGCGGGATTGGGCAGGAAAGTTGTCGGCTGGTTGAAATAATTGGAAGGCGAGCCCTGCAGTCAAGTCATGTCCGGGACCACACGGCCCTACTGTGAAAACTGCTCGTCTCCGACATGAAGGGCACTACAAACATCCACAGCAGTCCTTCACCCATGTGCCTGGCAATGCGCTTGTCCAAACCTCCTAGATCTTCAACGCAAAGCCGCAAAATGCCCGGCAACCTTCCCCTGCAGACAGAGGAGGGCAATCTTGACGCCCAGACGTGGCCCGAAGTGGAGGAATCCTCAACTCGAAAGAGCTCAGGCACATGACGGGCTACGGGCGTATGTCCTGGCCAAGCGGTCCGGGCCTTCTGAGATTGGATTCGAGGTCTGCAGACGCATGGGAGTTCGTCTAGACCTATAGAGGACTGTGCCGTGGCTTCTTCCAGCCCTGTTTAAATTGACCCCTAGTAGTAGGATCGGTTCTGGGTCTGGGTTCAGGTCTTTATGGGATTCCTCCTACAAACTTAGCTCCAAGGTGCCGCCTACGAGGGCCAATACATGTTGGGGCCCCAGAGTTGTTGAGCACGAGAGGGCATCAAGGACCAAACGATGGAAAGTTGCTTCCTGCCGCACAGCGGGTAAAGGGGACGGGTGTTTCGCCCAGAAATGCGCTACTCGTTGAGCATCAGCACTAAAATTTCAGGTTGCAAGGGCTACGCTGTAGCTTGCAAATGGATTGACCGGGAATCGCGTCGAGGAGATGCAAGCCCCGACCAGCCCAAAGACTCCAAAGACTCGTCATGCTCCAGGGCGTCTGAACTTGGCTCAGTTTGTGTCTTAGTTCCGATGGCGGCACGTGGCAGCGAGCGGGGCGTGAATTGGCAGTAGCATCATGTTAGAAGAAGGAGCAGCAGGATCAGAATGCGGGGCCAGTTTGTAAGGCATCACATGGCCAGCTAATGAGCATAACAGCGGTTCTTTGCCGCATGTGCTCCTTTATTGCAGCCGCCCAGCCTCTAAGCAAGCCTACACTCGAAACATGCCGAAACTCTTGCCTCTCAAGGGTTGTTTTTCCCCCGAGTGGAATGTTTTGACCCAGAAGAGCAAGAAGTGAAGATGAATCTAAGGAGGGACGAGAAGCACGGCGCGGGGGTTTACACCTGGCCTGATGGCCGGCAGACCTGGAAGCTTGCAGATGCGGGGGGGGGGGGGGGGTAAGCCC